TCCTAGAATCTATGAATCTATAACCATGGGCAAGTGCCTTAGTCCAGCCCAGGCCTTACCAGGGACTGAGGGGTTGTGAGGACAAACTCCATTGATGATTGTGCAGCGCTGAGGTACTACGGCGCTGAGGACCAAGTAAGTCAGCCGAGCAGTTCTAGTGCCTGGCACTTGGAAATGAAGCCGCTAAATCTCCACATTATGATTTGTATTAACGCCTAGCGGCCCAAACAAGGACCGAGCCCCGCCTTGTGCTGTGGTGCTAAAAGTCCTCAGCAGCCTGCACAGCGGAGGGCTATTGGCTGCTTTTGCAAAGTAAGCTTCTTGCTTCTACAGGTCAGAATCAGAGCAACCAGGCCTTGGTTACCTCTAAAGTGGCATTGGTCCCTTCCAGAGACGTAAAAGCCTGACCCCTAGTGGTTGTAGCTAAGACCTGTAATACACGGTGTCGCTAAATGAGTAATGGGCAAGCAGCCTAGGGGGATGTCTACACTGCAATTAGCCATCCACAGCTGGCCCATACCAGCTGACTTGGACCCAGGGGGCTTGGCCCATCAAAGGAGCTGTTTAATTGCTCCAGCCTGAGCTCTGACTACTTCAGCGGGGAAAGGAGCGTTCTTTCTCCCTATGCATCTGGCTCTCTGAGCCAGTGCCCATTGAAGGCAGTGGAAGGATTTCTGTAAACTCCACCAGCCAGTTGACTGGACCCCTGCTGTCATGAGGTTTTGGCCATGAAAGAGAGTTACGCATGCACATCTGTAGGCGGGATATACCTCTGACAAGCTCTCAGATCTCACAGCCAGGCTGTTCTCTCTTTCAGAGGCCATCATCAATGGTGGTGACATATGGTTCAATCTTGTCAGTAACCTTTTCTAGTACTGGGGCCTCACAGATTCAGCCACTGCAGGCTTGACCTGTGAGCGGTTCTCTGTTTTCTTTGGTCTGCAATTGTACGTCTGGCAGCTGCCAGCATGCATACAATTAAAGCTGCATCTCTGTAAGTCTGGTGTTACTGTGACATCCTGTCCAGGTGCAGTGGGGTGACAAAACAGGTACCCAATTACGATGCCAGGTTTTGTCATTGGTTTTCAAGTTTGTGCCCAAACTTTGTGGCAACTACTCAGTCTGTGTTACTTCTTCTTGGGCTTTTGATGAGAGGTGAGTGTCTTATCAGTTACAATTCTGTCCCATCGAGGGAACTGCTGTTTAAACACATAAGCCAAGCCATTAAAATGTCTGCCGAGAAGAGGTGGTTTGAAAGTGATTGGCAAGGGGCTATTTTTAAATAAGGTTTGTGCCCTTTTGTATTTCTTTATTGTATATTATGGAAGTCCTAAAAGGGGTCTTCCCTCCCCTCCCCCACAAAACAAGCTCAGCTTTGTGTCTTACTTTCAACATACCAAAGGTGGAAACTCGGTCTTTCCTAGTTTTGCTGGAGGCTCCAATCTGTATAGAGAACTGTTATCCCTTTAATGTGAGGACAGGGGTTCCATCTTTAGCCAAGACATCATTTCCTCCAAATGTTCTGTAGCCACCGGAGTTAAAACAGGTGTTAAACAAAAAACAGAGTTTAAGCGATCTGACTAACAGGCCCGTCCCCTCTCAATTGCGTTCAGTCTCTTGGGATGACACAATTGCAGCAGTTCTCCAGTCTGCTGCAGCGTTCCACTGTAAAGACGACTAGAATTTTTAATGTAAAAAACAAGCAGAAAAAAAATAAAGAAACCCCAACCCTTTCAGGCCTACTTTATCCATCAATAAAGGGCACAAACCTAAGCATTTCTGTCCTTTGCAGGTCACCTTTAAGGCCAGATCATTGGGTTACTGGTATCTTTGCCCACAGCTGATTGCAGCAGAGAATCTGAGGCAGAGATTCTGTCAATCTGCCTGGGGGGAGTGGGGCTACCAAGCTTGGTAGGAGCAGCAGTGATTGAGGAAAAAACAAGACACTGTCATGGGGGCATGCTACGCAGAGCCCAAGGGTTTCTCTGGGGAGGGGAGAGTCTATGCTAAAGGACCAGGTAGGAGGGGTCCTGAAATGGATGGAGCTGTCCCCCTGTAGCCTTAATCCATGCACACCTCCCTATACCCTGCTCTTCAGTGGCTGGACTCTATGCTGCTTGGATCTAGTTCCAGCTCTGCTTTCTGTGGCCAGTGATTCTCCACATTATGCCATTTGCTCTTTGGTAGAACCCTTCCTTAAGTCCCATGGGGATTTCTGCTTAAAACCTCATGATATGATAGTGCCCTTAATTCACATCTGTCTAGCATTTAAAACCCTTTGAGCTACTTAGGTGGTCATTTAGCAAGTGAGCCTTTGCCACTGGTGCTGCAGCTGGTGTTCTCAGCCTAGAGGTCTGATCTTGCAGCTGAATGTCCGGGGCAGATATCCACTGCCACTTGGGGTACATCTACACAGCCCAGGTGGGTTGGCTGAGTGGGGCTCGCATTAGCGCTCCAACAATAGCTCTGTAGCCAGCACTGTGAAGTTGCAGCTCAGACTCTGAAGCTTAGGGACTGAGGGGGAAGAGAGGTGGGGCTTCAGAGCCCAAGATCCAGCCCGAGCCACAACTTCAAAGGGCTACCTACGTAGCTCTATGTAGAGCTCTAGTATGAGCCCCACTAGCTCTTGGAGGCTCCCTGCTGTGGGCATTAGAGACATATCCCCTAGCAGGGCTTTGTCTGAGCACAAGGGTCTACCCTGGGCAGAGGCCCTGAGTCGCCATGGCACTTAGGCCCAGATGTTTCAAGGCCAGGGCCGTCCCTAGCCATTTGGGTGCCATACACAACTTCCTTGCGGGGAGCGGGGGGGGGCTGTGTAGAGCCCCAGGCCTCCCCTCCCAGGGACTGGGAGGCAGGAGCTGTGGGGGCCACTTTTGGGATATTAGCCCGCTCCGCTTCCCTCGCCCCAGCCGTGTCATTCGGGTGAGGGGACTTGGGGAGAGGGATCCCCCCCACACTCACCGGCAGCGGCACGGGAAGCAGAGCAGCCCGGCCCCAGCCCGCTCTACTCCACCAGCTCCCAGCCGCAGCGCTCCGCTTCTTGAGGGCCGGGGGTGGTCCTTTCCCCAACCCGAGCGACATGGCTGGGGCTGGGGCAAGGGAAGCGGAGTGGGCTGGCGCCGCATCTATCCACTTCCCGCTGCTGGTGAGTGCAAGGGCGATCCTTTCCCCGCACTCACCGGCGGCGGGAAGCGGAGCGCCGCGGCTGGGAGCTGGCGGATAGAGTGGGCTGGGGCCGGGTTGCTCCGCTTCCTGCCGCTGCCGGTGAGTGCAGGCTCACTGGGGGAAGAGGTGGAATGGGGGCGGAGCAGAGGGGAAGGGTAAGAGGCAGGGCAGAGGGAGTTGTCCGGGTCCCCACACCCCCCTAGGGACGGCCCTGCCCCTTGCACTGGGGGCTGGCCGAGGGATAGGGCTGGTCGCCAGGACTGGTGCTGCCACGTATGCAGCACGCAGCTGCCTAGGGCACCATGAAATTTGGGGCAATTTAGTGCCCCAAATTTCATGGTGCCCTATGGATCTGCGTGTGCTGCGTATGCCTAAGGATGACCCTGTTCAAGGCATTTCAGCATTGCAGCGCTGAGCATCACTACGCCTGATTGAAGAGATTAAGGGTCATTTCCAAAAGGCCAAAATTCCACTGACAGTCAATGGCCACACAGCAACTCCCAGTAAACTTCAATAAATAACTTGTACCAGGACCAAAGGAGTAATTCAGCCCTTCAATTTATTGTCAAATCGTCATTCACTGCAATAAGGAACCAAAATCAACACAAAAATAAATTGCGGTTTTTGTGTGTTTATAACTAAAAATGGCAACAGCAACAAAAATAAACCTTTAAATGAGTTGGTTATATACAGTCAATATCATCATGTTACTTTGTTGGCTAGATTAATTAGGTGTGATCCAGTCCTAACAATAGGTCTAAACATTGCTGCAGATAACAAGAATGCAACTCAAAAGCAGAAAATCAAAAACCATAAATAAGATAAGGATTGAAGTTACCCCCACTCCTGCACAAAAATATAATGGTGCTTTGTGTTGTATTTGTATCAGGTTTAGAGTGGATATTTTGTTCTAAAACTCTTCATGTGAACTTACATAGAATTCCTTCATTTAAATAAAAATGAGAAAAAAAAACCCTTTCATAACTGCCTTTTTTCCTCTTTTCATTCAATTTGTTTAAATTATTTTTTCTATACAAGGTAAGTACATTGTCTGTACAAAGTTAAATATACATATTTACAATCATACTTCCAAAGCACTTTTGAGTCTTCTCTTCCGTTGATCTCAGCGAAAGATAAGTGTTTTTAAACCCAGGAGTATGGCTAATTTATCAAAATGTATTGCAAGTCATGCTAACAGTTAGTTAGTTGCAGTTACTGTTAATCAGTTTGTATAAAAGCATCGGCATAAAAATAGGCATTTTCTATTATTAAATATGGCTGATGCCAAAATAGCAATCTTAACTTTTGCTATTTGTAATGGAAATGTAGGAAGCAGTCTGATGCAACTGGTTTTATCTATACTTTTTTCTTTTTGGAACAGAATTTCTATCAAAAAGAGCATTTATTTTTGATTTACAGGCAAGCCGTGTTTTTTCAAAAAAGTACAAATATATGCAGCTGGTAATAGTTATATAAACACAGCTTTACAAATTGGTTTGCCTTGCTAGTTTCATTAGGTGACAGCCTAATCAAGAACCACCACCACCACCAAAAAAAAAGCAAGCTCAGTAATATTTTGCTAGCATCTATCCGAATCTCTACGATAGAATACCAGGAAAAAATAAAGTCTTTATTGCAAAGAGTATACTTCAAAATGTGTCCTGTCGTTCAGCGCAACATTTAGGGGGTAAACAGCCATGGGATTTGCAAACAGGATCTGTGCCCCCTAAATTTTCCTTTATTTTTGTTCCATTTTTGTAAAATTTGGGTTGATTCCTCGTGGAAATTGTGACCCTGTTCATTGCTATGCACACAATATGCTCACCCATACACACACACACACACACACACAAAAACCTGCAGGGGTGGATATTATGAAGCAGAATATTACCAAAGTTGAGGGGTTTTTTTTGGCTGATTGCTCTGGATTAAACTGTCAGTTCAAAGCCCCTGCCCATATGATAGAGTGCTACCTAGTCTAATCACATAAACCGTTCTCTGCCGGCCATGTACGCTAAGGTGCACATCACAAAGAAATAATTAAGAATGAAAGTGGGAGGCAGAGTGAACATTACCTTGAAGATGGGGGTAATCTCAGAGAAGGCCTCCCTCAGTTATAGAGAGGGAGCAGCTGCAGAGCTGCATGTTGCCTCAATGCATTACAGTTCCCATTGCTTTTTCTCTCACACAAGCAAAACCTATCACACACTCTATTCTGCTGCTTCCCCCAACTCTGTCTCAGAGGTAAGTACTCAATGAAAAAGCATGAAAACTAAGCTCTGAGCTCAGAACTCAGAGCTACAAAGGCAGCATTGTAAACTAGAAACTTTGTCTCTTTCCTTCAGCAAACAAGAACAGTAAACCCAGCATCACCCAGATCCAGGCCTGCACATTCAACCCAGAACTGTATCACATAACCACATCCCCATTCCACTTCTCATCTCTCATTTATTACATTAATAAATTCTCTGATTTCAAAGGTCTTTGCTACTTAAATGTTGTCCGTTAAACAATACTAATCAGCAGGTGCATGATTGTTTTAGAGGTACAGCAGTTTCACATAGTTGCCTGGGAAAGTGCCAAACTGTCTTGTTCTCCGAGACGTACCTGTTGGGAAAGAAAATAAGAATGCAATTGAATAAGATGGAGCTACAGGGGAAGGTGACTGGGATTTGAAAGAGAAAGAGCAACCTGTTTTGTTTGTAAGCCAGGCTGGGTACAAATCATTGTTCTTGGCAACACAAGAGAAGAGGGGTCCTGGTCAAAAATTCTGTTGTTCCTGAATAGAATTAACTGAAATAACTGTCACTAACTGCACTCATTTTGTTTTTTAATTTTAATACAGCAATTGTTAGTGCTGGATTGACAGGGCTGTAGTCTAGGGGCCAGACTGTGATCTTTGCTACATCCATTTAAATCAGCTGAAATCAATGGAGTGGTTTGCCCAGGTGCGATGGAGAGCACAATCTGGGCCTGTGTCCTCAGAATACAATCGGGCCAGGCTTCCATGTGCTTTGAACCCACAGATGGGCCTGATGTCCAAAGAGCTCATCTCCTATTGCATTGTGTATGGCCAGACTTACAAAAGAACTCAGCACCCAGTGTACTTAGCTCTTTGGAAAATCTGGCCTGGGCAGCATACACACAGGTTTCATAGTGTGCCTCAGCCCTGCTCTGGAGGGAAGCCCTGCTAGGAAAGAGATGGGCCCTCAAGCCTCTCAGGGTATGTCTACACTTGGAGCTGTGGGTTTGAGGAGGAGGAGACATAACCACGGCTAGCTCTCGTCGAGATAGCGTGCTAAAACAGAGCACAGCTGCGGCAGCACGAGCAGCTGTCCTGAGTGTGTCTCCATCAGGGGTGCTAGGAAAATACTCAGCTGCTAGTCCCTCCCCCCACTCACACTGCTGCGCTGCACTCCATTTCTAGCACGCTAGCTCAGTGAGAGCTTGGCAGGTATGTATCCTGGAACTGCCAATCACGCTCCAGCTTGACGCGTGCACAAACCCGTGGTCTGTGACCCATTCAGTTCTTGGCATCTCTGCTAAGGCTGCTACCAGGCATGCCAGCTACCATCCCTTTTGGAAATGTGCAGTGCATTGGTGTATTCCTTTTTTCTGCTTAAATGAAGGTCATAATCACCAACTACTCCCCTACTCATCTACCAAACCCTTTCCTTCAAATCCTTCTTTAAAATCTGTTTCTCCCAGCAATCCCCGCTCATTAACACTCCCTTCCTGCTCAGCCCTTCCCCTGGGACTTGGCTGGTTCAAAGCAAGCCCCTGAGCCAGGGGAAGTGTGTATGAAGTGCAGTGCAGCCCTGCAGCACTGTATCAGTGGGGTAGAACAATTAGAAATGGCTGATTTTCTTCCTTCGAGACTTTTCTTTGATGAAAAATGGCCCTTTTAAGAAACTTAATTTTACAAAAAAGCTTTTTTTGTTTGTTTGTTTTTTGTTGTTGTTGTTGGTTTTTTTAACATTTTCTGCTTTCTTTAAAAAAACAGAAATTTCAAATTTTGGAAATTTGATTTTCTAGATTGTAGGGTTATTATTTTATTTATTTATTTTATGTTTATCTCCCCTCAACATATTTCTTTTTCACACACACACCCCTTCCCCAGTTTTCCTTTTGTCACTCTCTGCAACATGTCAAAGCTTCCTCAACTTTGGAAAAATTCCAGAGTGGCTAAAGAAAAACTGAAATTCTGTAATTATTACACCTTTCCAAAACTGGGGAAATTTTGAAAAGTTACAGAGTAGCAAGAGGAAAAATGAGAAAATTAAAAAGTTGGTGGGAAAAGCCCATCTGCCTGGATATCATTCTTGTATTGTTCTCAGTGGAAAAAATATGGGAAGAGAGGAAATTAAAAATGTTTCAAAAATATTTCATGACAATTTTTGGGAAAAAAACCCCAAAACATTGTTCCATTTTGAAGCAATTTCCAAATTTTGACATTTTCCACAATTTATTCCCCATTTTTGATTACCTGTAATAATAATATTAGTACTAAACATATGATGCACTCACCCACAAACCAGCCATCATCGCATTTCTCCATGACATCTACAATATCTCCGTCTCTTAGCTCCAGCTCATCGTTGTTCTGGGGAATATAGCTGTACAGGGCTTGGTAGCTAAGTCTAAAGCCGAGGGAGGGAGAGAGAGAGATGTTACAAATTATACAGTGAACTCTGCTGACATCCAATCACATCCAATCATCCAATACACACTACAGTTTGAAAAGCTACCACATGTCTATTGTATGTCCTATTATGGAGTCCAAAACCAATTGTAAACAACCTGTGCTGCTAAATCAGGGCTAGGCATTGTCACACGAACACAGGAGCAATAGTACAGCTGCACTGCAAGGAGCATCCCAGAGAAGGAACTGGGATTAGGAAGCCACAACTTTCTCTTTGTTCCACTCTTGCTCCCAGGGAGTACTGCTGGTAGAACTAAGACTCCACCATTCCCCACCTCCTCCTAAGTCTGGGTACATCCACTTCTGCCCTGGGCAGAACGGGTGTTCGTTTGCTTGCTCAGGCCTCTAGTCATATTTCATTGCACACTGAGTGTCCTGGCGCTTGACTGAAATGCCTTTGAGACAGGTTCGCTTTGTACACTGCAACTGTTTGAAGGAGAGGAGTATAGACAGGAGAAATCAGGGACCAAATTCTGCTGAGATACACACATGCGACTCCACTGCAACCAAGATGGAGCCTGTGGGTTTGGAGATGAAGCTGACTCAAGCCCCTGGAGCTTTGGGTGAAGTTTGGCTCCAGTTCCCAGCCTTGCGGCTCAGCCCTATCTCTCCTTGGGAGTGAAATCAGTGCTGGCGAAAGGTGCCAAACATCCAGCCCTGGAGACTCTAGTCCTCAAGTTCTCCAGAGACTAGGCTAGTGGGAAGCACAAGCTCCGTTGATGCAGCCCCACCAATGGACTTCAATCACAAATGTTTATCAAGGAGTTAGAAAGCAGTTTTGGCTGAGAGTTTCAAAGCCATCTAGGGGATTTAGACACACAGTTCCCATTAATATTAATGGAAGTTATGTGTTTAAATGCCCTAGGCCAGAGGTTCTCAACCTGGTGACGTGTACCTGTAGAGGTACGCAGAGGTCTTCCAGGGGGTACTCCACTCATCTAAAACAGTGTTTCTCAACCTGGAGGTGGCAGCACCCATAGGGTTGCCAACTTTGGTTGGATGAATTCCTGGTGATTTCATCTCATGACATTAATCTTTAATAAAAGATTAATCTTTAATTCCTGGAGACTCCAGGACAATCCTGGAGGGTTGGCAACCCTAGCCCCCAGGGTGGTCATGGGATGGGTTTAGGGGGATCACAAGTGCAGGGCTGGCATTAGGGAGTGGCAAGTAGGGCAACTGCTTGGGGCCCCGCACCACAGGGGGCCCTGCAAAGCTAAGTTACATGCTTCAGCCCCACCACCTAGGGCTCAGGCTTCAGCCAAGGCTCGCAAGTGAAAAACAAGCTCAAGTATCACACTGAAATGTAAGTACAATATTTATATTCCAATCAATTTATTTTATAATTGTATGGTAAAAATGAGAAAATCAGCAATGTTTCGGTACTAGTGTGCTGTGACACTTTCGTGGTTTTATATCTGATTTTGTAAGCATGTAGTTTTTAAATGAGGTGAAATTTGGGGTATGTAAGACAAATCAGCCTCCTGAAAGGGGAACAGTCGTCTGGAAAGGTTGAGAACTACTGCCCTAGGCAGCTCTGGCAATCTCAGCAGTAGTTGCTAAGCCCAGTCAGTCCTTGGTTTCTCTGTGAACACTGCCAACAAAGGGCCTATTGAGGCCAATGTAAAAATGGCTGTATTGTGCTGTGAACAACTAGCCACCTAGGAGCTACTGTGAACCCACCAACTCATTTCCTATGAGCCAGATGGTAGGCACCAATATGGGCTGCATTTGAACCACAGACCTTGAGGAGAAAGTAGCAGGTTACAAAGTCTAATTCCCTGCACTAGAAGTCCCACCAAGAAGTGATACTTTCTATGCATTTAGCACCAAATTGTCCACTCTAATTAACCATGTCCCACCCACCATCTGCCTTGTGTCACACTTCTCTTGCCCGCATCACTCTTTATCTGTGCAACATCTATCTTAGGGGCTGATCCTGCAGTCACTCATTGCTGGGCATGAGGCTTGCTGTCATGAGTCCTACACCCTGTAGGAAGTATATGCAGGAGTGTGACTCTTAATTGTGAGATCTCTCGAGCAGCAGCTGGGAACCTGATTCAGATCCTGTGTATGTATGATAAACTGAACATTTACCCTGTGCTAATTTCCATTATGGTTTGAAGGACTGTATTACTTTACAAGCTTCCTCAAGCACTTCTTTCTGTCTCCATTCATTGGCGTGATGGGCCCGATTCTCGCCGCTTTGCTCCTTGGGTAGTTTTTTACCCCTGTGCAAAGCACTACCCACTCAGGATGCTCGTGCTCCCACTTCTACACAGGTGAAAATGACTTCACAAGGCAGTGAAGAATCAGGCCCTCTGGCCAAAAACTTAGGACACAAGTTTTTCCCTCCATTTGTGTGTAAGAAACAAGGATTCAAGCTGCAGAAAGAGATGATGTAGTACTGTCCACCCCAAGCATTCAAGAACCTTGAATCAGGGCACCCCAGTCATGTACGAGCAGCGCATTGTGCCCGGTGCTATACAAACACAGGGGTCCTGTTTTCAGGCTTTTCGCTGCAATGACGAGGGCTAGAAACTTCCTTCCTTATTTTTTTAATGAAAGCTGACACTCTTGCATAATCACATGCCTCCAGGGCCTGGAGCTTTAGGAGAAGTACCAAATAATGTCACACTTAACAGCACATGACAGATGCAAACCAGGCCCCTGGGAGAGAGGGCAACCAGAACCACTTACATGTCTCCTGGTGTTTGACTCCTGTCAGGGCTGGCTCCTTGTTGATGTGCTTGAGGTTGCTGAGAAATGATTAGAGATGGTTTATTGTCATTAGAGGCCATCGTGTGGCAAGAGTCAAGAGGTTGAGAAATAGCACTGCAGTAATGAACAGACTTTTCTGCAATGTTTATGATCTCATTGCAAACTGCTTCCTGCGTGGTAGGCAGCATTGACATCCACGGAACACCCATAGAACAGTCAACAAGGAATGGGGGGGAAAGGGAAAAATAGACAGGAAGAGATGGGACATTCCAGATGCAGCACATAAGTCCAGTCAAACAAAAGAGTTGTAGATCCAGGTAAATATCCAGGTAGTGGAGTGCAGAAGGGATCCAGGTGTAAGCATGGAAAAACAGGCAATACAGAAGAATTTGGTACTTAGTTTGAAGCTTTGTTTAAAAAAAACACACAGAAGCATAAGTGGTTGCAGTTAGTCAGCAGTGGCACCATTACAATCGCTACAGTTGGAATATGAGAACGCACACTCCAGTCATGCACTACTCATTTAACTCTAATCCAATACAGACAATGCAATTATACCAATTCCATGTTGACTCTGGTAGCTTTTCTAGATGCTAAATTCTATTTCTCCATTACAAATACAATGATATCTAGATTTTTTGTGACTAAGAAAGCAGCTGGCAACTTTAAATTCTATGAAGGCGTTACTGTCTGTGATAAGAGACGCTACGACTGCATCTGATTGAAACAGTGGCCTTACCACATAGCTCTTTTCAGACTCTGTGAGATCTGGTCCTGCTCTCAGTGAATGGTGAGAAGGCTGTGTGATCACCAAGCAAATTATAAGGAAGACATTTTAGCAGAAGTTACATTGGTCAGAATTAAAATTAAAAAAGGACGCACAGAAAACCAAACAAAACACAAAACCACCCACCGCCAATTGATTCAGACAATAGGATTTTTAAAACAGAGGACATTGGAGAGTATAGCAATGCAATTGCATTGCAGCAGCGTGTGCGCTGCAAAGGGTAATACAATGGCAAAAAAATTAAAGGGTTAGCATAGGCAACTAGAGGAGGAGATGAAAAGATACGAGACAGCTAGAGACACAGATGGCAAACAGCATTGCATTGAATTCCTGTAGGGGAAAAAGACATGGACAGAAGCACAAGTGTCAGACTATCAGACCTTTAGGCCAAAGACCCTAATGAAAAAGGCCATTGCCATTATCTCTGGAAAGGCCCTTGGAGACATTTAGGATCAGGAAAAATGACAGCTCAGCTGCCTCCTAAAGAGTGGGCCAGATCCTCAGCTGGTGTAAATGGATGCAGCTCAGCTGAAGTCACTCCAAGTGCATTGCTGTCATAGGCATGGGAACTAGGAGTGCGGGGGGTGCTGCAGCACCCCCAGTTTTTGTGCAGGGTCCTGCCCACCACCCTGCGCCCAGGGTCCTGGTGCTGCCAGCCCCGCACCTGGGATCTTGACTCCTGGCTGCAGGACCTGCGCCCAGAGCTCTGTTCTTGGCCCCGTGCCTGGGGGCTCAGCTCTTGGCTGCTGCTGGCCCTGCACCCAGGGCTCTGTTCATGGCCCGCCACCTGGAAGCACACGAGGTCCCCACAGCTGCCAACCCCACACTGGAGGCTCTGCTCCTGGCCTCGCACGCGAGATCCCAGCCTTGGTCCCCTTACCCCTGTCTGCATCCCCCGACCCAGAGCCATGGCCCTGCTCCTGGCCCCAGCTCTGAGGTGTGGGGGAGGGCGCGGACAGGAGTAAGGGGGGAGGTGAGGTAAAAAGTTTGGCATGAGGGCCATTGGCTTTCAGCACCCCCACTGTAAAAAATGTTCCAGCACCACTGGTCACTGTCACTGCATGGGAGCTACACTGATTGACACTAGGTGAGGGTCTGAGCCATCACATGAATTCTAAGAATGCAGCAGCCTTTCAGAGGGACCAGTGTTTCTGAACAGAGATGGGCCTGGACCCAACCCCAACATCTAAACACGTCCAAGCTTTAGAGCCATTGTGAACACTGCCAGCTAGGTGCATCTTTTCTTCAGCATTGCTCCTTCTCCACCTCCCCCTCACCACTTCTTCATTGGAGAGCCATTCCCATGCCCTAGGTTACTTTCAAGAAAAAGCAGTTTGTTTGGAGAGTCTCAAGGTACAAACAATTGGATGGAACATGAAAAAAATTCCACTACAAATACTTGCATTTACATTGCAATCTTGCATTTTTTACACACTCAAAACTCCTAAGAAAAGCAGTGGACATACTGCCTGTGCAAGGAGTGCAGGACTCGTCCTCCCTAGGGCTATTATTCTAGTTTGCAATACAGATGGGTTGCCTAGGGTAAGTTATGTTGCCACTAGCTGTGAGCTTTCAGTAAAACGTTAGACCCAAATCTTTTTCCAGAGGGTCCATTTCACTCTTTCCCCATATTTTTTGTTCATTTCCGTGCACCCTCTGCACTGCTGAGTTCTCCAAAGGCCTTGGTGTGCTGGCAGCTCAGGAGAAAGGCTGCTCACGGCATTTCCAGACAGAGTGAAGGGAGGAAATAAAGAACTTAATGGATGGCAGGAGATTTCCAGCTTGAGTTTGGACACTCAAGAGACTCAGCTAGTTCAGAGGAGCATAGCGGGGCTAACTTCAGCCATGGGGTAGCTCCCTTGAAGTTTCTGTGAACATGAGTTCCAATCTTCTGGAGGTTCCCCCACTGTTACATCAAAGACTAAAGTATCCTCTCCCAGTTCCTTCATCTTAAGGTCCCTGACCAGTACGCCCACCCAACCGCAATGCAGCCAGAAATCTCCTCTAGTCAATCTGGCTCTCTGGGGATTAATAATTACTCCTGAATCATTTTGCTCAGAAACTATTTGTTCTGACTTTGTATAGAAAATAGAAAGTGATTGGGATGGGCTTACCACAATGTAATTAGAGCTCATAGCATTTATTGGGTAGTCTGAAATTGTTACAGGACTTTTGGAAGTCATTCCTACATGGCCACCGTCAATACTGAAAGGCTAATAGGATGATTACAAAGTCAAAATCAGTATTTTGCAAAGGAACTCGATATAATACATCAAAGGCACTGAAATCACAGTTAACTGAGGAGGGAAAAGCTGATTTTCATGGCTATGGTACACAGCATCTACACATAAGAATTATGGTTTGATTCAGGAAAACTTAGGCTGTCCCATCTGTGACACTGTGCAGTCTATATGGTTTTATAAAAATTTAATAAGTGAATATAATGTAACTGAAATGTGCATCATGCAAAAGGTCTCTTGTAAGGTATCACTGCAAGGCTTATGATCTACTGAGTGTGATCATCCTATTTGCACAAATGTACCACTCTTGTATCTGAAACTAAAAATATAAAATATAACTCTGAGGGCCTATTGTAATTATGTAAAGTGTGGGCCATTAATGGTGATTTGGAGTCTTGATGACTCTCATTAACCAGGATCATTGTCTGCAGATAGCTGTGTTTTACTTGTAAGTCTTCCTGTATATGTGTGTGCTGGCAAGTGGATAATGAAGTCTTACAGTGACATGTGATCATGTCACCTGAACTGGAATCCATCTTTAACCTGGTGCTTTTCCAGTGAAGGGGGTGGAAACCCAGAGAGAGACAAAGGATTCCCGCCTTATGCAAAAGATATATAAAGGGGTGGAACAGAACAAAGAGGGAGAGAAGAGTCATCATGAAGAATCCCCTAGCTACCACCTAAGCTGGAACAAGAGCTGTACCAGGAGAAAGAATTGTGCCCAGGCCTGGAAGGTGTCCAGTCTGAGGAAAAAACTTACTGAAGCTTCTCTGAGGGTGAGATTATCTGTATTCAGTTTGATTAGACATAGATTTGTGCATTTTGTTTTGTTCTGCTTGGTGACTTGCTTTGTTCTGTCTGTTACTACTTGGAACCACTTAAATCCTACTTTTGTATTTAATAAAATCACTTTTTACTCATTAATTAACGCAGAGTATGTATTAATACCTGGGGCAGCAAACAACAGTGCAAATCTCTCTATCATTGTTATAGAGGGCGAACAATTTACGAGTTTATCCTGTACATGCTTTATACAGGGTAAAACAGATTTGTGTTTAGACCCCATTGGGAGTTGGGCATCTCAGTGCTAAAGACAAGCACACTTCTGTGAGCTGTTTTCAGGTAAACCTGCAGTTTTGGGGCAAGTAATTCAGACCCTGGGTCTTTGTTGGAGCAGACGGGAGTGTCTGGCTCAGCAAGACAGGGTGCTGGAGTCCTGAGCTGGCAGGGAAAACAGAAGCAGAGGTTGTCTTGGCACATCAGTTGGCAGCTCCCAGGGGGGTTTCTGTGATCCAACCCATTACACCATCCTAATATATTCCTTGCTGGAAATGCCCCTTAAGACCATAAGATAGTAAGGCCCATGTAAATAGGCACACTTCCCATGGACTCACAGGGAGCTGCACTGGCGCATATATATATAGTGTAAACATCTGGCTCGTCTCTCACCATGCACTTTCAGTATCTGCTCATTCATCCCTCCATAGCAAAGGCCTGGTGAAATTAGTGGGCATCTGTTCCTTGACTTCAATAGGACTTGGGCCAAAATTGGAGGTGATGAGCTGGACCTAACTCAGGATTTGCCCAGCGTGGCCCATAGGGGTGCAGCTGGGAATAATGTGATGAGAAGGAGAAAAGGGAAATGTGGGCTGAACTGCAGGGAGAACCAGTGGATTGTGGGATAATCTCCTAATGGTAGGAATGGAAACCCCAATCCTCTGCGATAGTAAAACCAGATAGGCACAAGCCTGGGCAATATAGGGTAAGGAACCATCCCCAGCTGGCAGGCAGTGCGGGAGGGAAGAGAATGAGGCGACCTATAAGGTAGAGATTCCAAGGCCAGAAGGGACCCTTGTGACCATCTCATCTGGACCCCCTGAGTAACACAGGCCAGAGACCTGCTGCACATAATACCTAGAACAGAGCTCTTAGGAAAACATCCAATCTTGAGTTAAAAATGGTCACTGATGGAAAATCCACCATGATCCTTGGGAAATTGTTCCAATGGTTAATTACCCTCACTATTAAAAATTTACACTTTATTTCCAATCTGAATTTGTCTAGCTTCAACTTCCAGACATTGGATTGTGTTAGACCTTTCTCTGCTAGATGGAAAATTCCATTATTAAATATTTGTTCCCCAGGTAGATATTTATAGACTGTAATCTAGCCATTCCTTAACCTCCTCTGTGTTAAGCTAAATAAATTGAGCTCCCTGAGTCTATCATTACAAGACATATTTTCTAATCCTTTAATCATTCTCGTGGCTCTTCTCTGAAACCTCTCCAATTCATCAACATCCTTCTTGAATTGTGGGCACCAGATCTTTTCATCTCTACTTTCCGGAGGGGTGGGGGGAGAAGGGGAATATATATATGAT